AAATCTGCGCGGGTCCGAAGCGCCCGGCCTCGCCCGCGGACGCTTGTCAGACATCCCGAGCCCGGCGCGCAACTGGCGCTGGGGCCCATCTGTCAAGACTTGCAATCAGATGCAAAACAAGTGACGCTTCTGCTCCTCCCCATAGGTTCCAGACCGGAAGCGGGCAGCCCCGCGCATCTGACATGTCCAAGCTTCTCCCCGAGACCCCACCGATAGCTGAAGCGCGAGCACACGCTGGAAGGACTCCGTGCTCGACTGTCTCCGCGCTCCCTGACCCGCGACTCCCCCTGGCTGTTAAAATCCAGCCGATCTGATTTTTTTTCATTCTCGAGGCTCTCTCGTTGCCCCTGCCACTACAAATTGACCTGCAAGTTCTGAATCCAGATCCGAGTTTGACGGCCGGCTTGTGCAATGGGCCAGCCCAAGTTCCTAAGGCGAGGATGACGCACCTGCCCGCGGCGGCGCTGCTGGCCGCGAAAAAGCGCTCGTCTACTGACAGGGCGGCTTCAAGCTCGTCCCTGGTCAGTGCTCTCACCACCGTTGCTACCTTCACCAATTAGTGCGAATGCTGTTCGTACGAAATCGCCCAGTTAATGCGACTGAGATACACCGAATGCTGGCAATGCGAACTCGCCCGCTTAGAATTCAAACATGCATAGCTCAGATGAGTGGTGCAACTGTCAGGAGGGCTGAGACGCAGTATATCCGGACAGCGACGATCGCGAACTAGCAGGCTGCTGCTGCGCCCCTCACTGCGCGCAGGGCATGGCCAACGGCTCTCCTGCACCCCCAACAACGTAGCGGCACCATGAGCAGAGAGATGTAACTGCATGGGCGCGGGGTGGCAACCTGGTTTTCCGCAACGTTTTCGCAGGCCGTCCTCATTGACCCTCCCATGCAAATCTGCGAAGTCCCAGCGGGAGCCCGCCGTGCCAGACCTGGAAGCTCCACTTCGCACACTCTGTCTCCGGACCGCATACATTGGGGAACTTCCAAATCCGCAGCTAAACCGAAGGCGATCGGAAGACTACATCCAGGCGTCGGCAAACGGAAGACTGACCCTCCCACGCGCCCCGTGGAACGCGCTGAATACACCAGCCCAGAGAGAAGAGCCGTGAGAGCCCATCGAAATTGAATGGGAAACTCTCCAAGACGCTCCGAGATGCCCACAGATATACGACAACACGCGCCCTGGACTCGGACATTCAACGAATGCCGGGCGCGACGGCCATCCGAGCTCAGGGCCGACCACTTCTGAACCGATTTGCGGCTAAAAAAAAAAGCTGCTGCGCGAGGCTGGCGACGCGTTGCGGGCGCTTGTCCGCCCCCCGCAGCTGGCCGCACCTAACGCGGCACCCACCCAGCAATGCTCGCGCACTGTTGGGCCGAACATCATCTAAAACGTGCGCATCTGGTCCTCCTGCGCCCCTGCAAAACTTGCGGGCCCTTCTATCCCCGCTTGTTGGGTGCCGTAAGCGCCCCACTCTATCCAACGGTCGCAATGCTTCGTGAGCGAATCTCAAATGGCCCCTCATTTTTTATAAAAAAAACAACAACATACGACGACCGCCCTCTCCTGCTTTTCCCCCTCAGAATGGCCCCCGCTGTCTTGCTCCTGAATCTATCATGCACTCTCTGCCAGGCGTGCAAGCTGTCGCGCGAAATTCTGGGCCGTCATAGAGATCGTTGGCCGAGCTGGCATGCGACGACGCGCGCTGGGGATCGGGCGCAACGAGCATGCCCACTAAGATGGCAAGCCCCTGCCTGAAGTTCGAAAGACGGACGCCTCGTCCAATTTTGGAGCACGCGGGCCGTAAGTTCGAAAGACATTTCCTCATCGGCGCTCGCCCCCGCTGGCTCGCCAGGCAGTTCGCACGGGGGGGGGGGGGGGCTCGCGGGGGCGGGGGCTGCAGCGCGCGCGCCGGGCGCGTGCTTGCGCGTGCTCGGCGGCGAGCCTGCGCGACTTGGCGGGCGAAGCTGGCCGCGCCACCCAAAATCAGCGCCCACGGCGATAACGACCCCAGGCATCTGTGACTCCATAATAACATCATATATATATGTATGTATGCATGTATGTATATATATATATATAAAAAGCCTTGCCAGACCTCTATCGCCAGGGAGGGGGCCCGGGCGCTAGCACCTGCTCCCCAAAGGCCTCAGCGGCCCCAGCGTTGGCCAGAGTCTCGCACGGCATGTTGAGGCCACCCCCCGATGATGAACTACATGACTGGTGAGCTGCAAGAACTGGCAACCCTTGCCAAAATCTCCACGCTCAGACATGAAGGGCCCCCGGAACATGCCCCATCTACTGAAGGGCTCGGGGGAACGAGGTGGCCGCGGATGAGGGGCCGCCGTCTCCAAGGTCGTTCCGAGTGAGACGCGGCGCGCTGGAGGGGCCCCCGCTGCTGCAGGCCCAAATGGATTTCGAGCCACTCTTTACGGCCCATGCTGACGCAGTGGCGACCGATTCCTCAGCAAACGCAACGGAACCGTGGTCCGAATCATGGCGGCCCATAGTGCGGGTTTTGATGGTGCCGTCGGAAGACACATAGAACGCTTCCGCCAGCAGCGTCTCTTTTCCTCAAGCATCACCTTCAAATCCGGAGGGTTATTGTCAAAAACAAAAACACCGATGGTATACTCTGTGTCTTACACCGCCGGTTTGGAACTGCAGGTCGTAATGTCGTCCCACTCGCTGCTCTGATAATCTAGGTCCTTCAGTTAGCGAAATCCCACAGGCTCCTTAATACTTGTGTCACCCATCCTCCTGCCCATAATGCCATCCTCGAGGTGCCCCGCCAACCGAGTTTCGGTTGCTCCTTTGCCTGCGCCTCCTCCACGATCACGATCAGCTGCGCTGGCGCGCTCTGTTGCGTCTGCCCTTCTCCCGCGCCGGTGACTGGCTGCTGCTGGCATTGCCTGAGGTTGCGGTGCCGGCTGAGGCTGCTGTTGTTGAGCGGCTGGCGCACGGGCGGATGAGGCCGCTGCTGCTGATGATGCTGAAGCACCTCCCACTTGCGCCGCTATGTCCTCCCACGTTCCCTGATGTTCTGGCGGGGTGATCGCTGCGCCGACTTTGCAGACGTATAGCAGCGGATTTTCGCATGGATTTCTGCCAACGCAAGACCCCCAAACGTCGGCCGAATAACGAAGTGATTTCCACGCTGATTGTTCTTAGTCTCCATGTTGGCCAAACAAAATCTGCAAGATAATCACTTTGATATCCGGAACGAAATTCTCCAGGACACCCCTGGCCCATCTTATTGCTTTCAAAACGAAATTCGATCTGCGATATTAGCACCATGAGATGTTCTGGCGGAATGAACGTTTCCAGTTCCACGCGCTGCCTTTCGTAAGTCTCCTGAGGTGTGTCGATGCTTGCGTCGCCGGCCGCCTCTTCGAAGTTATTCGGCAACTATTGTGCGGACGCCACCAGAAATGTGACAGCCTCATCATCGGGTCGTTGAGTCGCAAGCGTCTCCGTTGCGAACTATCGCTGCTGCAGGCCACCGATGTCTTCGCATGCCGTCGTCGCCCACGTTTTTGTTTGAAGCTCCTTCTCGTGTTGAAGAGACAACTTCAACTGAGCGCTGTCCTCTCGCATCCTGGGAAGCATCGTTTACATCTGCCCACGGAATTGAACGTCCTCGTCACGCTGGGACCGCAATCGAAATACCTGTTTCTGTTGCGCGCTGAACCGTGACCACCATTCGCTGGAAATGGCTATCATTGGGCAATCAGGCCGAGGAAACCTGTTCCGTAAGGTTAACTATTGCCATGGCGATCGCGTCGGCGCTACCTTAAATGATACCGTCCTCGAGCAGCGTAGCAGGGGCCAGATATTTGTCCAGCGCTTGGATGCGAGTATAAACCTGGGGACCACAAGCACAGCAAACAACCCAACGACCTTTGCCAGCACTCGAAGTGATCCTCCGAGACAGGAGGGGGAACAACAACTCACGGCCGCAGGGCGGCTTGCCGCGGGAGCGGGGGCCCACTTGCCGCAGAATAGGCACTGAATATGAACCAGGCCGAACAGCTCTGATTGCCGCGGACTAACATTAATTATCCACTGTGGGCCAGAAAACAAACGACAACACCCCACTAACGACTCCACAGGCCGTAGCATGTACTACGGATCCCGGCTTGCATTGTTGCGTGGTATACGCTACGCCCCTGGATGGGCCGTAGCGCATCATGGCGGACCGTAGTGTCTTTTGTTATTTTGGTCGATGCTTCTTCCAGGGTGGAGCAACATCTTGGGGCAAAACGGCTACGGAGAAGATGTAAGAATGAGGACAAGGAGGCAAGAGGAGGCAAGGCAAGAGAGCCGGCGAGAGGCTGGCACGCGTGGCCCGGTACCTGCACCTGTGAGCTGTTAGCTGCCCGCAGATCTGTCACGAAGGGGTGACCTCCCCCCTCCGTGGCCTTCGGAAGGCACGGGGTCGGAGCTACAGTCGAGGTACTACCAGAAGGAACGCCAAATGAGGAACAAAGGGGGTGTCCTAACCACGGCGAGCCTCAGCTAGGAACCTGGTTCCCCGATCTAGGCCCACGGGGCGGCCCGGAAACCAGAGCCCCTCCATAGCCCACAGTGGTCCCTACTTCATCGCCAGGACTACCAGCGGAGATCTCTATCTGTCAGTCTGTCAGTCTGTCTGTCTGTCTGTCTGTCTGACTTACTGTCTGTCTGTATGTCTGTATGTTTGTTTCTCTCTCTCTCTCTCTCTCTCTCTCTCTCTAACCCTCTAAATCTCACATGCTCTAACTCTCAAGCTCACTCTTTCTCGCCCTCTTTCTGCCCATCCTGCTCTCTCTCTCTCACTCTCTCTCTCTCCCTCCCTCTCTCTCTCTCTCTCTCTCTCTCTCTCTCTCTCTCTCTCTCTCCCCCTCCTCTCCCCCTCCCCCTGTCCCTCCCTCTCCCCCCACCTCTGTCTCCTCCTCCCTCCCCCACCCCTCTCCCTCCCCCCTCTTTGTTGATGCGCCAGTGCGCAAGCCTCCTTCGCTGCCCTCGCGCGCTCGGCCTCCCTGGCCTCCTCCAGCGCCCTCTCCTCCCGCCTCGCCGCCTCCTTGGCCTCGGCGTCGGGAGCGGGGCGGTGGCAGGGGAGGGCGGGGGAGGGGGTGGGGGAAAGCGGGGGGAGGGGGGAGGGGAGGGAGTGAGAGGAAGGGAGAAGGGGGAGGAGTGGGAGAGGGAGAGGAGAGGAGATGAGAGGGGACGGAGGGGGAGAAAAGGGGAGAGGAATCTATACCGTATATATATATATATATATATATATATATGTTTAGATAACTAGCTATATATATATAAATATATATATATATATATATGTATAGCTATCGATCTATATATATATATATATCCTCAAGATCGTGCCCGAGAATTCCAGGCCGTGCGAGCGTGGATGTGGATATTGTCGCGGCCCGTGAGGGCAACGGATTGCCGCGCCCGTCAAGGAGGAATTGCGTTGCAATGTTGCACTCCAGGGCTGCATCCGCGCCCCCCCCCGCCCCCCCCCGCTGGCAACCGCAGTAACACCCCCTTCGATGTATGCGTGTCTATAAATATACATGCATACGCATATGTGAGTACACATGCATCTATATATCTGTATATTTATATCTATATATATACGCGATCGCATGGATGCAACCCGCGCGGGGCGCCAGCGAAACAAAGGCCCTGTATCCACGGGGTCGCGGACCAGGGGCCCGACCAGCGAATCCGTGGACATGGAGACGTTCCCCTCTCGCTATGTTCACGACGTAGCACAAGACATGCGCGTTTGGAGCCAAATGTCGAGCGTCTGAGTGAGCGAATGAAACGGGAGGGGAATGAGGGGCCATGTCCTGCGACCCGGGTACAAACACGAGGGAGGAGGGGAGCCAGTGGAAGGGGAGTCAGGAGAAGCATGGGGAGATAGAAGAACGAGTGAGGAGCTGATCTGGGCACTGGAAGGGCCCAAGCTCGAGAGAGAGAAAGAGAGGCTTGCCCGGGGGCGCGCAAACATGGATTAGCGATCCATGGATTTGGCGCGCGGTCGCCAAAACCATGGATCGGGGGAGGTACCCTCCTCAAAATGCGGCCGGTGTCGCCTCGCTCGGCGGCAGAAATCCGCGATTTCCGACGGAAGCGGGACCCGTCGCTAACCCACGCCCTTGATCCATGTAAGCGATCGCCTGATTGTCTTTCTGCTGGCTGGGGTGTTCTGGAGGACTTTCGCCCGCAGACTGCTGTGGCAGGAGTCAGCCCCTCGGGTCGGGCGAAAGGGGGGGATGGCAAAGGGGGGGTTTGAGAATCAGCTCACGTAGCTGATTTTCCGGGCGCCTCCGGGCGCCGGAGGCGTCTATGTATCGAGGAATGGGCCCCTCGGTGAGGCCGAAACCAGCGGCATACAGCAAATTTCGTAACCCCCCCTTTCCCAATCCCCCCCTTTCGCCCGGCCCGGGCCCCTCGCTTGCCGAGCCATGGGGAAGGGGCGGTGGAGGGGCGGAGGCGCGGCGAGCGATGAGCAGGGAGCGGCGAGCGAGCGAGCAGGGGGAAGGGGAGCGAGCAGTCGGAGGAAGGATTCGGAGGAGGGAGGTGGAGAAGGGAGGACGAGGAGACCAGAGGAGGGAAAAGGGCGGACGTGGTGGGATGCGGATAAGGATGGGGAGGAGCATTTGGACGAGGGAGAAACCGAGAATGAGCGTTGTCATCCGCAAGGCCAGCCCCCAATTTGGCTGCCCCTCTGTCCCGGCGGCATCTCTCTCCTTCTCCATCACCTCTCCCCGCGCTTTGTTTATATATATATATATAGAGAGAGAGATATCTGTCTCGCGCTACAGTAATGTATATTCACACACGTACATATGTATATATGAAGCCCTCTTCGCTCTTCTCTCGTGCTTTCTCTCTCTGTCCCTCTTCTTCTCCTTTCTCTCTCTCCCTCTCTGCCTCCCTCCCGCTCTCCCTCTGCGTTCTCTCCCTCCGCCTCCTCCCCCTGCCCCCCCCCCCTCCCTGCCCCCCCTCTTCTCTGTTGAGATGCCAGTGCGCAGGCCTCCTCCGCCGCCCTCGCGCGCTCGGCCGCCCGGGTCTCCTCCAGCGCCCGCGCCTCCCTCCGCGCCGCCTCCTCGGCCTGAGCCGCCGCCGAGGGGGCCGCCCCGAGAAGGCCGGGGAGGGCAGCTCTGGAGGGGCACGCAGAAGCCTCGCCTCGCCACGGGTGATGGGCTCGTTGTCCACCACCACCACCACCACCACAATGAGCTGGAGGGGGAGGGGGTCCTCCTCCTCCTCCTCCTCCTCCTCCTCCTCCGCCTCCTCCTCCTCCTCTCCTCCTCCTCCTCCTCCTGCTCCTCCTCTTCGTCCTCGTCCACTTCCTCCTCGTGCTCCACCTCGCCATCGTCCTCGTCCTCCTCGTCCTCCACTTCCTCCCCCTCTCCAACTTATGGTGGCGGTGGCGGGAAACAGGCCCATCAACGGGGGAAGCGGGTCCTGAGGGAAACGGGTTCTGGGGTTTCTCCGCGCTCTCAGGGTCTCGGGGCCCTCCACGGACCCCTGCACTGTGAGAAACTTCCTCAGGACAAATGTCTCGACCTCAGGACAAATGTCTCGACCAGGGGGAGGGGGCCCCCGGTCCAGGACCCGCTTCCATCAGGGCCCGCTTTTCCCGTACGAAGAGCTGGAAGCACACGCGGCTGGACTCGTGAGCGAAACGTGCAGAGGCCACGCGCGCGCCAGATGCACATGAATGGGGCTGGCGTGCCCTGCCACAGAGCGAGCTGGGCGCCTGAAGGGCACGCGGCCGCGTGTGTGCATACAAATGCGAGAGTGGCGCTCATGCACCGTACCATGTTCGAACTCCTTTCAATCCCCCCCCGCGACGACGATGCGCCTCGCGGCCGAGCCCAGCGTCGCCGTCGTCGTCGTCGTCGTCGCCGTCGCCGACGTCGTCGTCGTCGTCGTCGTCGTCGTCGTCGTCGTCGTCGTCGTCGTCGTCGTCGTCGTCGTCGTCGTCGTCGCCGTCGCCGTCGCCGTCGCCGTCGTCGTCGTCGTCGTCGTCGTCGTCGTCGTCGTCGTCGTCGTCGCGGGGGGGGTGTTCGCCTCGCTCCAACGCGATACGGTGCCTAGTTGGTTGGCGCTAAGGGCCGATCACACATCGTGCCAGTCCTAGGTCGAAGATCGACAACGCCTCGGGAGACGCCAAAACGGTACGGCGCATACACGTCGCCCACGGAACGAAAAGGTCCTGAAGGAAGGGGGACGTGGGGGAGACGCGGGGGGAGGAGAAGGAGGAGGAGGAGGACGAGAAGGATATGGAGGAGGAGGAGAGGAGGAGGACAAGGAGGAGGAGGAGGAGAAGGAGGACAAGGAGGAGGAGGACAAGGAGGGGGGCGAGCAGAAAGAGGAGGAGGAAAGAGGAGGGGGGAGGAGAAGGGAAGGGGGAGGAGGGGGGAGAAGGCTGCTCGACTACATGGCCACAGTTCGGCAACATAAAGCACGTTTCCAACAATACCTCACTGAAGTACGCCTGCGCAATATACAGCACCATGGTCCACAACATCAACCACCACCACATCCTGTACAGACGCCCTTGATCTTCAAAGCGCCGCCCACAGAATCCGCACCAGACCTCCTACAAGAGCTAATGGCACCAGTACGAGATAATGACTCAGCGAATATGGGAGCGACTACGTAGACTGTCACGGCAGTGATCTCACCTCGCGCGATGACAGAGCATTTCGTATACACAGAAAGCAAATGGTACACCACTACGACTTCTTCGGTTACCACAGAAGTCCGATGTCTGACCTCCCCTCTTGCCTTGTCTTGGACTTTCAGCTTCACAAGGGCTACTCCTGCTGTCGTCGTTGTCGTTCCACTTGCACTCCCTTCCTCAACCCCTTTTTAGGCTAGGGCCGCCAGACTTACCCATGTCTACGCTTGACTGGGCACCTCATCCCCCACCCAGGGGCCCTACCCCACTGACCGTTGAGGACAGCAGGTAGCCTGCTCATCGCACTGTGGATGCACAAGGTATCTGTTCTCTTCTCCCTCGGTGGCTTACCTCCCCTTCTTTCCCACTGCTCGTTGTTTCGCCCTGCTGAAACACCTTGTTCGAAGACTCGCTTCCTCCACACATCTGGGTCACTCCGCTACGACCTATACCAATTGCGCAGCTTGCAATACACCTCTCCCCTGCTTTACATTAGCTGCAACTTTAAGCTGGCCTCAGACAGAAGTACCTTTCTGGACCCCCTGACCATCAAGGCAGGGTGGGCGCCACATGTGCTCCCCTTGCTCAGCCAATTACGTCAACTTTCACGACTGAGAAGAAAAGCACATTCTTACTTTGCGGGCCCCCTGACCCCTCTGGCAGGGCGGGGCCCACCGCTGCGCCTGCAGGGCAGACCACTTAGATCGGCCTTACACAAGGCACATGTTCAGATCGCTGCGCTACAGCAAAAGCTCCATTAGCACAGCCTGCGGTGTACCTCTCTCTTGCTGTGCTTTAGTTGCAGTCCGATGCCAGTCTCAGACATGGGACTTGGGGGTGGGCTGGTATGTTAGAGGGCGGGGGAAGGGGAAGGTGCACATGCTTACCCTGTGGGCCTCCGGACCCCTTGGGCAGGGCGGGACCCACCGCTGCGCTAGCAGGCCAGCCTCTTACCAGGCCAGCCTGTCACAACGCACAGCTTAAGATTGCTGTACAGCAGCAAAAGCAACCCCGACGAGCTTGCAGCTACCTCTCTCCTGGCCTCGTCACCTACCTTCTGCGGGCCCCCTGATCCCGCGGGCAGGGCGGGCCTCACCGCTGGTTTGATGGCTGTGTTTGGAGGGGCGGTGGAGGAGTAGCACATTCTTACATTGCTGGCACCGTGACCCCTTGGGCAAGGAGGGCCCCACCGCTGCGCCAGCGGGCGAGCCCTTCTAGACCAGCCGCACAAACGGCACATCTGCGGACTGCTGTATCACAGCAGCAGCTCCACGAACACAGCATGAAATCTACATCCCCCTTCCTTCACTCTCGTTGCAGCCCTGTGCCAGTCTCATACATGGAACGTGTGAGTGGGATGGCGGCCTGTGGATTGTGGTGGAGGGCTAGCATACTACTTGCTTACGGGCCCCCGGACCCATTGGGCAGGGCGGGCCCCACCTTTGCGCCCGTGAGCCAGCCGTCTCTTAGGCCAGCCTGACACAACGCAGAGCTGCATATTACTGCACTACAGCAACATATCCACTTGCACTGCTTGCAGTATGCCTCTCTTTTGGTTCACTTCAGTCTAGACCAGTCGTGCCTTTTTGCCTCGTCGCTCACTGTTGACATCCCCCTCGCCACATTTGTCTTGCACATCTCCAGTCCTGCAGGCATACCTCAGGGGGGGTACAAAAGCCACAATGGTGGCCACGATGACGGGGGACCCCTCCCCCAGGAACTCAAACGGTGAAGGCGCCCCTCCCCGAGGAGCCGGAAAGAGCACGGTTAGCAGCCCACGAATATGTTTCGCCCAGCCACCCTGTACCAGCCCCTGTACCAGCCCCATACACACTCTTCTTGTCCGCCGCACTTACCTGACACATGTTGCACTCACCGCCGGCAAGCGTGCACTTTGAACAACTATTCGGGTACGGAGGTGGGATTTTGCTGACGGGGGGGGTCCAATCACACTAAGGTCGACAGGCAGGCATAACCTTACCACCAGGCGGGCGCCTGCTCTTTTTGTTGCTCCCCTTAGCCGCCCCTCTTCAGCCTTCTTTTGCCGCGGCGCCCGCCAGGTGCATTTGATGTCCTACCTCGCCAAGTCGGTCCTCCGCTTCCTTTTAATACCTGGACGCCGCGTGCTAGTTCACTAAGTCCGAGCAACGTAAAAGGAGGAGGAGGAGGAGGAGGAGGAGGAGGAGGAGGAGGAGGAGGAGGAGGACAAGGGGGAGGAGGAGGAGGAGGAGGAGGACAAGGGGGAGGGCGAGCAGAGGGAGGAGGAGAAGAGAGGAGGGGGGAGGAGGGAGGTGGAAAGAGGAGGGGAGAAGAGGCTGCTCTTCCCGACCTCCGGGAGGAACCCCTTTGGGGCGCGACGCCCTCCATGGCGCGCGGACGCACGGACCAGCGCTTCGTCCCGAGCTCCGTCTGGCAGGCTCCGGGGCCGCGGGAAGGCCCCAGGAGCCCGAACCCGCTGGAAAGAGGAGGGGAGAAGAGGCTGCTCTTCCCGACCTCCGGGAGGAACCCCTTTGGGGCGCGACGCCCTCCATGGCGCGCGGACGCACGGACCAGCGCTTCGTCCCGAGCTCCGTCTGGCAGGCTCCGGGGCCGCGGGAAGGCCCCAGGAGCCCGAACCCGCTGAGAAAGACATCGGGGCCCGACTCCAAACAGCCCCGGCCTCCCCGGGTCATGAAACAATAGCAACGGGGAGATTCTACAGCTTTCGGCATCTGGGAGCCCTCACCGGGCCTCGAGGCCGTCGAAAAATGCCTGAGGATGAGAAATTGGTCCGGGAATGGGTCCAGACCTCTGAGGGTCGACGTCATGAACAAATCATGGCGTCAGGGGTCTGGGTTGGCGGCGCGGACACGGAGGCAGGGGGTGGCGGGAAGGCTTGGAGGCTGGTTCCTAGAGGGCGGCGGCTTTACATCTACAGACAGAGTCCGAGCCTCCTAAGAAGCAGGGGCGCTCCGAAGAAGCCTTCCCCCCTTCCCCTGCCCCCCTCTGCACGTGGCCGACCCGATGGGGGTCCCCGAATTTACGGTGACCCCGTCGTGACAAAATCGAGCCATAGCTGGTGTTTCATCCCGAGTCCCACTTGGTCGGTCCCAGGGCCCCTCGAGGGACTCCAGAGGCAGGAAGCGGCCAAAACTTGACGTCGCGAGTCGTTGCACGACGCGAACACGTCGCAGGACCCGTTCGCTCCCTGGCGACTGACAGGACGCGGGGTCTCTGTCGGAGGGGGGTCGCCAGTGCTTGCCGTGCTTGGAGTGTGTGTTCTTCATTGCTTGGGACATAATGGACATTATAGCCCCCAATTTCCCCCCTTAGAATGTAACGCCCCTCCTCCCCAGTGCGCTCCGGGCACTGCCGCCGTGCGCATCCGGAGTCCCATCGGCGTCCGCATAGAAGTCCGCATAGGAGCCTGGCCCGCATTGGGAATCTCACGGGGATCCTTATAGGGAGGAGGAGGAGGAGGAGGAGGAGGAGGAGGAGGAGGAGGAGGAGGAGGAGGAGATGCTCGCTCTAACTGTCCAGCGCACGCAGGAACACTGGTGTACAGAAGCGCTGCGTGCACGCAGACGCTGTGGTGTAGACAGGCGCCGTGGTGTACACAGGCGCTGCACCGACGCAAGCGCTGTGGTGTACACAGGCGCCGTGTTGCACATGGTTGCTGCAGTGTTACACATTCGCTGTGGTGTACACTGGCGCTGTGGTGCACGCAAACACTGTGGTGTAAACAGGCGCTGCGTCGCACACGGCTGTTGCGGTGTACGCAGGTACTGTGGTGTACACGCGCGCTGTGGTGCACGCGGCGCTGTGGTGTACACAGGCGCTGCGATGTACGCAAGCATTGTGGTGTACACAGGCGCTGTGTCGCACATGGTTGTTGCGGTGTTACACGTTCGCTGTAGTGTACACCAGCGCTGTGGTACACGCAAGCACTGTGGTGTACACAGGCGCTGCGTCGCACACGGCTGACGCGCGCTGTGGTGCACGCGAACATTGTGTACACAGGCGCTGTGGGCAGGTCGCCACATACATGCTGCTCGCGTCGTCGCCGTCGTCGTCGTCGTCGTTCGTCGCTCGTCGCTCATCGTCGTCGTGCGCGCGGGCGCGGCTGTGGTGCCCCAGCCACACGGCGGGGGGGAAGGCGTTACAGTTTACGCCCCCCCCCCGCTCCCGCCCCCCCTATAACGCCCATTATCGCCAAGAATCCGCCGACCCTGTCGGCGTGTGGAAGACGCATCCCGGTGTCGTCGTCTTGCGTGGATCACCGTCGTCGTCGTCGTCGTCGTCGTCTCCGTCGTGTCCTCGTCGTCTCCGTCTCCGTTGTCCCTCGTCGTCTTCGTCGTTCCCCGTCTCCTTGAGCGCGCGAGCCAAAGCGACATTGAGCAACGTCGTAGTTGAGTCGTGGCGAAGCCCCTCCCTACCCTCCCCGCCGGTGGGGGTGGGGGGTGGGGGGGGGGGGTCGCCACCCAGATACGCATCCTCCCCGGGGGGTCCCGGAGCTCAGAAAAGCTTCAAGACGAGCCAAGAGCGACAGAAGACACCCCCAAAAGGGTACAAGAGGGCCTCGACTCGACGAACGATGGCCCCAAGACGCCCAAGACGGCCCGAAGACGGCCCAAGAGGCCCTCAAGACGCTCCAAGAGAGCCCCAAGAGCACACCCAAGAGGGCCCCAGGCGCCAAAATCGTCAATTTTACATAGGTTTTTGAATGATTTTGGCCTTCTCGCCTTTTCGGCTTTCCGACACTCCAAGACGGCCCAAGAGGCCCCCAAGAGGCACCCAAGAGCGCCCCAAGAGGCCTACAAGAGGGCCCCAAGACGGCCCAAGAAGGCCCCAGGACAGCCTAAGAGGCGCCCAAGACGGCCCAATAGGGCCCCAAGACGGGCCCAAGAAACGGCCAAGAGGGGGACGAGGAACCGAGAATTCGAGACTTCCGCCCTAAGAGGCCCCCAGGAAGCCCCAAGAGGCCCCCAAAAGGCCCCAAGAGGCCCCCGAGCGGCGCCAAGACGCCCCCAAGATGCGCCGAAGACGGCCTCTGGAAGCCCCAAGAGGCCCAAAAGAGGCCCCAAGAGGCCCCACAACGGCCCCCAAGAGGCTTCAAGTTGCCTTCCAGACGCCCCCGAGAGGTCAACCACGAGATCCCAACCAACATCCATAAGGCCTCCTCCTCCTCCCCCTTCACCCTTTCTCCTCCTACTCCCTTCCGCCTCCTCCTCCTCCTCCTCCTCCTCCTGCCCCACCCTCGTGTTGTCTTTCGTCATCTTCAGGGTCGGCGGCAACGGCCGTAAGGCCTTCGCAATACAGAAACGCGCTCTTGCCCCGTTGTTCCCGCGCGCCACCTCCTCGCGGGCCTTCCTCTCGGCCTCCTCCTCGGCCGCCTTCTGGGCGGCCTCGCGAGGTGCTCTGGGAGCGGCGATGATCCCACCCTCCTCCTCCTCCCTGTCCTCCTCCTCCTCCTCCTCCTCCTCCTCCTCCTCCTCCTCCTGCCTCCTCCGCCTTCTCCTCTTTCGCCTCTTCCCCTCCCGTCCTCCTCGTCCCTCCTCCTCCACGTCCTCTTCCCGCCCCACCCCTCCTACAACCCCGACGGCCCCCAGAGGCAGGAAGCGGCCAAAGCTTGCCGTCGCGATTTGTCGCACGACGCGAACACGTCGGAATTTTCCAAAAGACCCGCTCGCTCCCTGGCGACTGTCAGGACGCGGGGCCCATGTCCGAAGGGGGTCGTCAGTGCTTGCCGTGCTTGCCCCGTTGTTCCCGAGCGCCACCTCCTCGCGGGCCTTCCTCTCGGCCTCCTCCTCGGCCGCCTTCTGGGCGGCCTCGCGAGGTGCTCTGGGAGCGGCGATGATCCCACCCTCCTCCTCCTCCCTGTCCTCCTCCTCCTCCTCCTCCTCCTCCTCCTCCTCCTCCTCCTGCCTCCTCCGCCTTCTCCTCCTCCTGTCCTCCACCGCCTTCTCCTCTTTCGCCTCTTTCCCCCGACGTCCTCCTCGTCCCCCACCTCCTCCACTCCCCTCCTTCCGCCCCACCCCTCCTACACACCCCGACGGCCCCCAGAGGCAGGAAGCGGCCAAAAACCTGCCGTCCGCGAATTGTCCGCACACACGAGCACCGTCGGAGTTTTCCCAAAAAAAAAAAAAAAAAAAAAAAATAAAAAAATCCCAAAAAAAAAAAAATTAAAAGAAAAAAAAAAAAAAAAAAAAAACCCGCTCGCTCCCTGGCGACTGTCAGGACGCGGGGCCCATGTCCGAAGGGGGTCGTCAGTGCTTGCCGTGCTTGCCCCGTTGTTCCCGCGCGCCACCTCCTCGCGGGCCTTCCTCTCGGCCTCCTCCTCGGCCGCCTTCTGGGCGGCCTCGCGAGGTGCTCTGGGAGCGGCGATGGTCCCATCCTCATGATGCATGTCCTCTTCCTCCTGTCTCCTGTCTCCTCCTCCTCCTCCTCCTCCTCCTCCTCCTCCTCCTCTTCCGCCTCCTCCCCTCCCGTCCTCCTCCTCCACGTCCTCCTCAACGTCCTCCTCCACGTCCTCCTCCCGCCCCACCCCTCCTACAGCCCCACCGCCCCTACGCTCCCTCCCCCTGAGCAATCAACTGTCGACATCACCGCGGGGGGCCTGGTCGGGCCCCGACCGAGGAGCGGCCTGGCTGGGTGAACCTCTTGAAAGCCCCGAGGTCGGAAGTCTCTGGGGGGGGGGGCTGCGCTGTTGCCAGGACCAGATCCCAGTACACTGGGCGGGCGCGCTTGCTCCGTCAATCGCAATCCGTACGACCCACAGGCGCAAGAGGCTCGGATCTGATGCTTGCTCTTACATTGTGACTGGGCTGCTCAGGTCTGCTCGTGCCCTGCAAGCTTACCCCCCTCCTTCGCCCCAAGACGCACAAAAATCTCGCACGCTGTCAGCGAGCCTCAACCCAAAGGGGAGAATAAACAACAACACTGCTCTGGACCGTTCAGGTTGACGTTCCGTGAGCTCTCAGACGCGGGTGGCGTCAGGCAGAGGAGACACTGCGCGCCTGAGGCGGCGAAAGGGTCGCTGCGTTCGGCGCGGGGGGGGGGGAGACGCTTGCAGAGAGAGGGTGCCGCCTCAATCGTCGCGTTCTGCGTGCTGTGCTGGTTGTGACGATCATGGCGAATGGAAGTAGCATCGTGATGACAATGCTGGCCAAGATTCTGTCCGAGGCGCTAGTGGCGGCATGTATGACAACCAGTATGGCTAGATTGCGCATGCTGATCATGTCGATGACGGTGAAAATATGTTTCATGTAGTGTTGGCGACGGTCATCTTCATAGCCACCACGGCGATAACGCTTTCCCCGAATCCTCCTGGACTCCTAGCGAAGTCGTGCTCTGGGGTCTGCGGGACCCAGTCCGTGAAGAGTCTGTGGCTGACTCGGCGATACTGGAGCCCCCTTGATTGAATAGAAGACGCGGCCGCATTCCACACCCGACCTCATGCCCCGTCCTGGGCCGCTCCAAAAACAAAATTCCTGTACAACTCTATGGAAAACGCGCATTGGCCCTTGAAGTCCTTTTCCCGCAAACGCATGGGTGTGAGCACCTGCGGCGGAACGAAGTGGGTGGCAGTCTGACATGCATGGGGTGGAAGGGGAGTAACGCAGACCATCGCCCCACAGACGCAACTTGCCACCTACCTGCTGGTCCGAGACTCCTGCAGGGCGCTGCCTGAGTAACAGGTGACGCTAAACTTAATGAATGAACAGCCAGGCTTACCATCTGGATCCTGTCGGACAAGAAGGACAGCAAGGTTTCCCATGTGCCCGCGAGGAGCCAGAGCCACCACATCTCCAGCGCCAGCGCGACGCAGATTTTAGAATCGAGTCGTTGCAGAAAACATGGACTAGGCTTTTCCTGGGATCGGGGTCGGATTGGCACTTCCAGCTCCAAGCAGCTGCCGAAAGAACTCGAACTGTTGCAGACAAATTGCGTCTGGAAAAAGGGGGCGGGGGGGGAAGGAGGCACCACGGGACCGGACTGGGCCCCGATTGCGCGGAGTGAGGCGGGGGGACTTCGCCGCTCGCCGCCTCCTCGCGGATTCTTCTCTCGACCTCCTCTTCGGCCTGCTTCCGAGCGGCCTCTTCCAGGGGGCCAGAAAAGTGCAACGCATTCGCTCGGTCGAAGCAAAGTGCACAGCAGCCTCTCCGCACACCCTGAGCTGCCAACCTGCTTGCAAGGAACGTTGACAGCCGCGTTCCATGCTGGCTGGCAGACTCCTTTGGAGCTCTAGACACCTGGGTCTGGGATGTGTTTAGTCATAGATGTATATACTTATGCAGACGACTGGGATGTCTTAGATTTGCATATGTATCTACCATTTACAATACAATTCGAACCACGACAAAAAACTGCAAGCGAGCCTTCTAGATTCGCAGACAGGCGGAACAGGAGAGATATTAATAACAACATAGTCGCTGTCTTCGTCTTCGATATCGTCTAGTTATTCCGTTTCCTCCTTATCCCTTCTCCTCATACTTCCTTTTTCTCTTCTTCTCGCCTTCCCTGCGAACCCCTCCCCGTTCGTCTTCAATGTTTTGATCCGTTTTGCGGAGGCCCATCCGTGAAGAGTCTCTCTCCCAGGGTCCTTCGGGGCTTACTCGGGTTTTCTTGGACGCCTGTCTATCCCTCGTGGGGCCATGTTGAGGGCCGCTCGGGGCTTCTTGAGGCCACCCTCCTGCAAACCACGGCTTGCGTCAACGACACGGTCACGACTTGGAGTGTTTGCGAATTGGGGCCATCTTCGGCACGTCTTGGGGCTCTCTTGAGGCCGTCTCGGGGCTCTCGTGGGCCGTCCTCGTCTCGGGGCGACCTTGGGGGGCCTCTTCGGCGGTCGCCGACGCACGAAGACACGACAACCGAGCACCCAATAGTTGCCAGCGGACAATTTGCTGGGACGATTCTCTGGGCCGTCTTGCAGCGTCTCGGGAGGGTCTGCCGCCACGTGGCCCTGTCGAGCGACCCCTGGCCATCGCTCGGACGTCCATTCCCTGTTTTTTTTGCGGTTTCGTGCGTGGTTTTTTCGCCAAATGATCAAGGATGCTCCTCGATGGCCCGCGCCGAAAGAAAACTGCGCACGTCCGAGCGATGCCAAGTTCTTTGGGCCGTCTTGCAGCGTCTCGGGAGGGTCTGCCGCCACGTGGTCCTGTCGAGCGACCTCTGGGGCGCGCCCCCGGCCGCCCTGGAGGCCCCGGGGCCCAGCAGGGACGCCCGGGAGGCCCCCCAGGAGGTCGACGGAAGGCTCTGCCAGGGCGTCCCCACCGTCCAGGGGTCCGCGCGGACGGAGGCAGGTTTTATTTGTCTGGAGGGGCGGATCTCCACCCCCTCCTCCTCCTCCTCCTCCTCCTCCTCCTCTCCCCCTCCTCCTTCCTCATCCTCCCTCCTCCTCCTCCTCATCCTCCTCCTCCTCCTCCTCCTCCTCCTCCTCCTCCTCCTCTTCCTCCTCCTCCTCCTCCTCCTCCTCCTCCTCCTCCTCCTCCTCCTCCTCCTCCTCCTCTCCTCCTCCTCCTCCTCCTCCTCCTCCTCCTCCTCCTCCTCCTCATCCACCTCCTCCTCCTCCTCCTCTCCTCCTCCTCCACCTCCTCCTCCTCCTCCTCCTCCTCCTCCTCCTCCCCTCCTCCTCCTCCTCCTCTCCTCCTCCTCCTCCTCCTCCCCTCCTCCTCCTCCTCCTCCAGCCTCCTCCTCCTCCTCCTCCTCCTCCTCCTCCTCCTCCTCCTCCTCCTCCCTCCCTCCTCCTCCTCCTCCTCCTCCTCCTCCTCCTCCTCCTCCCCCTCCTCCTGCCCCCCCCTCGGAGGAGTGCAAAGAACAGCAGGGACCTGTAAGCCGAGGAGCGGCCGCCGACGGTCCGAGCCCGCAGGCGCGAAGTCGACGAGCGCAGCTGCGCTCGGGAGCAGACGCGCGGCCTCCGAGCAGAGGGGCCTCGTGGCCACACGTTTGGGCGTGGCTTAATGGGGGGGGGGTCACAAATGGGGGGGTCAGAAAAGGTCCCCTTTCGGGCCCCCCTCGGGCCCCTCCGGAGCCCCAGGGGGCTCGTTTAGGTAACGTTTGGGTACCTTTTCGGACCACCCTCGCCACCCCCCCATTTATGACCCCCCCATTACGCGGCGCCCCACACGTTTGCTCCAGACATCGCCCGGGCGCGGAATGCGGGAACTGCTCTTTGCGCAGCTATCTTTAAGTCGGGCCTGTCCCCCTACCGGGGAATTCTGGACGAAAAACTAAAAGTGGTCAGGACATGCTTCAAACCTGGTCAATCATTGTTTAAAACATCGTACCCTGACTATTGTTTACCATTTTTGAATATTCCTCCTGCAAAGGGACAGGCCCGACTTAGAACTAGTTTGCTCTCATGCTGGACTCCAGCGGGGGAGCTCCGCTTCTCCCTTCGGCTCTTCTGCTCCAAAAGCGCAGCCCAGCAGGCTCTCGAGGAGGCCGCCTGAAGCGCTGGGAGGCACGACGCTTCGAAAGCATGTTCGCACTTCCATCGTTGGCAAAGTGGCCGCTGCAAAACGAAAGCGCCACATCAACTTGAAACCCCACCCTCCCCGTCCGCACCACGACGGCCACGGACGTCATCATTAACAGCTGCAAGCCGTTGTGTGGCTTCTGTCGCGCCGAGTGCGCTCGAGGGTCTGGCCCACTCGAAAACCCCATGCCAGCCCAGATTCACTTGTCCTGTCTCTGCGTCGAGCTTCGATCGGATTCTCCATTGGACGACGTGGGACTGGCGACCTTTCAGCTCGCAGCAAGGGTCGTACTGGCTCGCACTGCCGCGAAGGGAAACATCCACCTCGAAAAAGGACCCCGCACCATCCCTCACACACACACAAGCACAAACACACAAACCATCACACACACACAAACACACACATAAACACACACACACACATAAATACACACACGCACTCACACACACACATGGCCGGGTTCACATGCGCAACATCTGGAGGCGCGCGCTGGATACACATCGGTCAGCCCCGCGTCCCCCGCCATTGGAGGGCCAGGCGCCGCAAAGACACGGGGCTAACCCCAGGAAGCATTTAAGAACCCCCCCGGCGATATCTTAGCACCGCATTTTTATTAGATATTCCGAGGGGCCGAAATAACCGCACGATAGGTTTAGCACCCGGACACACAACAAATTCGCGGAGGCCTGGCCCCTGGGCTACAATCGAAATTCGAAATTCAAATCTGCGTGGCTCTCATGAAAGACTCAGGATGTCGCTTGCTGCTTGGAAGGAGGAGGAGGAGGAGGAGGAGGAGGATGAGGAGGAGGAGGAGGAGGAGGAGGAGGAGGATTTGCCGGAAGGGGGGGGGGGGTTCTTAAATGCTTCCTGGGGTTACATGTGCATCCAGCCCATGCCCAGGCCGGGCTGGTCGTGTGCACCGAGCTAGAACAGAGATGGCCTGAGGGTCGGAGGCGGCCAGGGGGTCCGAACTGGATGGACCTCGAGGATGAAGTGCTCCGAACCGGGGATGACGGCACATCCGCTCGAAAGCGGCCCCCGCCTGGTGCGCGTCTGCACCCCAGATCCGGTTTTGACGGCCCCTGGGCCCGGACAAGGCTCCGACGGAACAAACAAAAAACTCCTCGAGCGCAGAACCGCGAGCCTCGACCTGCGCCTCCCCCCCGGGCTCGCCGGAACCAACGGCTTCCTCAGCCCGCCGGCCCCCACCTCAGGGTGGGCAGCGCGGGAGCTGCAGGACGAGGCCTCCACTCCCAGACCTAAAACGACGCGAAGATCGGGACAAAATCGGATCGGGATAACTCGAAATCTCTGAGAATCGGCGGGTTTGGAGGATGTATTGGGCGCCGCGGCCGCTCCAGAGCGTTCCGGAACGCTCTGAGAGCGCTCCGGAACGCTCTGGAGCGATTTATCTCGATCCTAGCCCCGTTTTAAGACCACCGACGTCACGATTTCCCATGGCGTCGACCCCCCAAAAAGTCTGGACGGATTCCCCGGGACCGGCTTCTCGTCCTGAGCCGTTCCTTGACGGCCCCGAGGCCCGGCAAGGACGAACCGAAGGCGAAAATTGTGAAAAACTGACCGTCGTGATTTTTCCACGACCCGAGGGGGTATGGGAATGGAGTGGGGGGGCGGGGCCCGTGCTCCCCAGGGCTCCCGACGGGGGCGCGCGTCGCCTCCTCGCGGGCCCTCCTCTCGGCCTCCTCCTCGGCCTGCCTCCGGGCGGCCTCGTGCAGGGAGGGGTGGCCCGGGCGAGGCGGCATATCCGATCGCGGCGCCCGCCGCCCCGCGCCCCACCCCGCCCGACGACCGCTCCTCTCCCGCCGCCCTGCAAGGAGAACCCTGGAGGCCTCGCGCGGCAAATCTGGGGCCCAGCTGGCGTCGGATCCACGTCGGCCTCGCGTCGGGCTCGCGCTGGCTTTTTCCGTGGGGTTCGCGTGGGATTGCCGTCGGGCCTGCGCCACGGTGGACGCACGTCGGATTCCCGTCGGTCTTGCGCCGGGACGTCGCCGCGCGAATGTCGCCCCAGATCTGACGGGGCGGACCTGCGGAGCAGATCGTACAAGCTGCGCGCCGCGCGCGGCCTCCAGGAGCCTCCGCACGGGCCACCAGCTCCCTCTCCCGCTCCTCGCCCCGTCCGCTCCTCTTCCACACTTCACCCCCCCTCCCGCACGCCAGCCCGGACATTTCTTGACGTCGCGGCGCGGCAGGTGCCATCCGCTCGCGCGTCCGAGCCAGACCCGGACACGGCGTCGCGAGCGAACCCGCACGCAAGAGGAGGGGGGGGGAGGCGAGGGGGGGGCGGCCGCGAAGGGGGGGGAGTTGGGCGCGGGGGCCCTCTCACGCAGCGGGGCCGCGGCGAGCGCGCGGGGGCGGCCAGGCCGAAGGGCAGCCCCTGCATGACAAGCCTGGGCATGTGACGCCCTGAACTATTCAGTACGGGGGGCCCCAGATGTCCCGACCCTTTCCCCGGGGCCAGTCCTTCATCCCGGGCAGAATCTCGGGCGGCCCTTGGGCCCAGCGAGGGCTGTCAGAGACCAACCACGGCCCCCCAAAAAACTTGCCGTCGTGATTTGAAAGAGCCCATGGACACTCACACATGAATAGACACAATTCCCCGGATTCCCGATATTTCATATATGGTCTGGGTGTTGGTCCTTTCCCCCACTTCCGATGTTTTCCCATATTTTCCGGGGCAGCGACGATGAATGATGTTTCTCTGTGTATGTGTGTGGTGCGTGTGTGTATATATACATATATATATATATATGCGCGTGCGTGCGTGCGTGCGTGTGTGTGTGTGTGTGTGTGTGTCTGTGTGTGTGTGTGTGTCTGTGTGTTTGCGTGCGTGCGTGCGTGCGTGCGTGCTTGCGTGCGTGTGTGTGTGTGTCGATCTTGACCACCGCCCCTCTTAGTCGACGTCTGGAGTGCTCTTAGAACACAAACCCGATGTGTTAGAGAACAAGATTCTGAGAACATTTCGCCGGAACCACAAGAAGGTTCCTAGAACATTCTTTGGTAGGCCTATACAGTCGGGGCTTTGACCCAAGGAATCCTGAATCAGGAGCGAGGCCCCATTCTTCCACACTTTGAGCTTCGATCTCCCATCGAAAGCCTCGGGACAACCCGAGGCACACTGCGACACCACCAGGGAGCACGGAGCCTCTCCCCAGCGAAAAGGACCTCTTTCTTCAGCGCTCCGACGGTATAGGCGAGCCAGGGCGCTCCGCCGCTGCCTGAGAAGCGCGCCTCTCGCCCAGGGCACAATAGGCGTGGCGGCGGGGGTCTCCCGGGAGAGAGCCCCAGGCGGGACGGGTCGCATGGCGACGCGCCGGGGCTCCCTGCGAGCTGGCGGGTCTGGCGCATGCACCCGTCGGG